TATAGCTATATCTCCCATATATATTGTTCATCCGATTTGTTATTTTTATCCTCCGATATCGTAATATGATGTACTCAGTAACAACGATATTTGGGGAAAATGTATCAAATACAACTCAGAAATACCCTTGCCAAATTTCGATCGAGATCGGTTAAAATTTGAATGTAGCTCCAATATATATGTTCGTCCGATTTGCATTTTATTGTGCTGAAAACGTGTAATATCAGCCCAAATTGAATGGAATTTGGCACTTACCTCCAAATTGAGTCTAGAAACAAGTATGTCAAATTCGGTGGAAATCGATTCAGATATAGCTATGGCTCCCTTATATATTGTTAATCCGATTTGTTGAATTTGCCCTGCACAGCCGTAATATGGACTCCGTAGTAACGATATTCGGGGAAATATATCAAATAAAGCTAAGAAATACCTTAGCCAAATGTTATCGAGATCGATTCGGATGTGTACGGTATCAAAAAGTCGGCCCCGCCTGACTTTAAGACTTTATTTGATGGTTTTATACCGTTTTTTATTTGTATGCGTACTTTCTCCGCCCATAACTGCAAACGAAAGAGCATTGTCGCTGATCTATCCCAACAAATCAATTTGATAGTGTTGTTGTTTTTGTACACAAAATCTCTGGCCTCTTGCTTCTGCTGCCTTTCCTATCTCTCGATCCTCCTCCCCCAGTCCTCATCAACATTAAAACCGTTTTGCTTTTACATTCATAAAGCCTTACTCTATTTCGAGCATTTCACTTCCTCTCTAAATTTTCAAACAGGAGTGCCTCGCGAACGCTCCCACGTAAAACAAAAGAAATACTTCGTATAAAACTCGTACTTTTCGGGCACTCCCGCTGGCGAGCAAGTTTCGAACGCGAGTATAACCGAGCAAACTGCATCTTGTGGAATTCTCGTTTTTGTTAACAGAATGAGTGCAATTCCAAGCAAGTAAATATGGCCACGATTAATGCTCAATTCTGCTATCCTCAAAATGACTAAAATCTGAAAACTCCGTTCCGGTATCGTTCCTATATTGATTATTTTATAAAAAAGAGAACACAAAATATAAAATTACAGGTGATTTAGTTGAAAATTGTAGTCGAAAAGTAGAGAAAATCGATTGGCATTGTTACAAAGAGAGTATATAAAGTAGTGGACCCACACTGATATAGGACCAACGCCTTTGAAACATCAAAAATCACGAACAATGCAATTAATTTGGTTGTAAATCGAGGTCATGACCTTCGAAATACCAAAAATCAGGGGATGCTAAGCTAAATCGTGGACTTACTTTGAATGTTTAAATAATAAAGTTAAAATACCTAAGGATAACCAATAAAATGAACGAGTATAGTGATTAAAAAATCACAGAATAGGCCTAGAGAAATAAAAAATTACAATTGGTTGGTGGGAAATTGGGAGCCAATCTTTCGAAATACCGAAAATCAGGGGTGCCGTTACACAAAAGTTATACCTAAGTGTAGACAGATTTTGCCCATTTTTAGTGCCAGACATCTGAGAATTACTAAAAATATTGATTTTAACAAATGGGCGGACATTCTTCAAACGATTTAGAATTTAAACCGTCAAACAGTAGAGGATATAAACAATTTTCGATTCCATACAGTCGATTCCATACAAATATGACTGTATGGAAGTAATAGATTCAGCGAGGACCTGGTGAAAATTAGTCACTACACAACAAAACCCGTAGAACAAAATTGAAAGGTTTTATATGCCTACCACAGATGTCATAATCCCCAACTTTTATATATTGAGGGTTGCAGGAATAGCGATTCCATGCGATTCAAAATTAATAACTTAACGCATATTCCTGGGACATCTTCAAGTTGTACTGAAACTTGACACCACTTTACTGCAATTTATGATTGCTTACCTTAGCAATTTATTCGTATATTTTAAAATAAACGAATATATTTTGAGGTTATGGTCCAACAGCAACGACATATACATATAACATCATACACATCAACATTATGTCAATCATATGTTTTATTTTATGGGACAACATCAACAACAACAAAAACAGCATGAAACGTGAGGTACATAGCATGGTGCACTCACACACAGGCACACATACATATACACGCTCAAAAGCGCATCCACCATATTTACAAAAATGTATTTCAGCTACCACAGTTGAAATCGATCAATATCCATAAATATCAATCATGTCTGTCAAATACATTCAAACAATATTTAATTAAAAATTCTCAATTGTACAAAAAAAAAAAAAAAAACAAAATGAAAAGAAAAGAAAGAAAAAAATAAATCGATAGGTAATTGATTTTAAGTTTACAAATGTACATTTCCGAAACATGTTGGGGGCAAAAATGAAAAAAAGTAAACTTTACGATAAAAGAAAAAAGTTTCATCACAATTGATTCAAATAAAAAACTTACAAAAAAATACTAATACTAAACCTGAATCCCCAATTTTGGGTTGAACTATTAAAACCACAAGATACATTAACTTCACTTTCTTCAATACATATGCAAGGTAGGCAATAACTTAGGTCGAGCAACAATCGGGTTAAAACGTGTTGGTATTTAATAAAATTCACACTACCGGGGCATCTAATTGTAAAACTCTCTTCATTATTGTTTAGGAAATACCCTAGCCAGACAGCCATACTTATATCAAGTGGTTTATTTCTCGTCTAAGTACGACGATATTCAAATCGTACACGATGAACATGATTTCAAAACAAAAACGATAGAAGAATATTGAATATTATAATGTGTTTTCAGTTTGGCTCCGCAAGACAGCCTTTTACGTTACCATTCATAATGTATTTTGGAATGCTTAAGTATCTGATATATAATACTTGTGTACATATTCCAAATGTGTACATATGTTTTGTATCAGCGGCCACAGCGGAGAGACCATTAAAGTAATCAAATGGTTTTCTTTAATGACGAATAACAGCAACAACGCCATTTAATGGTAATATCTAATACAGATTATAAACGACCACAATATCCGTTTCAGTTATTGGCAGTAAAATTTATAATTACAATTAAGTAATTAAATCATAAGTTGAAATTGCAAAAAAAAAATTAAAATAAAATGGAGAGAGAAAATTGAAAAATATTTTAAAATTATCTACAGTTTCCATAAAACTGTCCACACTTCTAATGGGAAGTAGATTTTTATATCAACACATATACATTAAGACAGTCCCGGATAGTTGAGAGGAACCATTAACAAAATTGCTTACCCTCTTCTAATTTTGTGTGATTATAACTTCTGCTGAAATGCCGCAAACAAGATAGGCCACGAGGTATGCAAACTAGTGTTTCGTTACACAAATTTTGAATACTCGAAAGTCAGGGCACTTAATCGAGAAGTTAACATTAGGCGAAAATACAAGTGATACTGCAAACTGTAGGCTCGGATCATGGAAAGTACAAAGTAGTAGCAACAAGAACATCGGTGACATTTAACGGTTATATGATAACTGGCAAATAATAAAGAGACAAGACAATGAAATCATTAAGAGTGAGCCCTCTCGGGATTATTTAAGGCCTTTAGATGGGCACAATGGTCCCGCAGACAGCCAGCAGAGGTAAATTGTAGGGGCCGAAATGAGACACCAATATTCAAAGCGAGTGAGTGTGACAAATACGATGTGGCGTATGCTTTATGAGGTTCACCACAAATCTGCAGAGGGTGATATTGCAGACGTCATCCGGAATGCAGTCATTAAAAGCGTAAGACCTTTTTAACGATTTTCTCAATTTGTTCCAAAAAAAATATTTAAAATCACAAAATTGGGAGGGTGGACTCTCTACTAAATCCAGACATGAAGCCAACAAAGTTGAATCGTACAGCTGCACAACAAAGTATTAAAAATTTTTGATGAAGGAGCTACAGTTTCCATGCTCGCACAATACCTGAATGACAAGAAGAAATAATTAATTAATATGTTAAGAAAAGTAATTTCAAACTATACCAGCTCCAAAACATAAGGTTTTTGTCAAAACAGTGATCACGTCAACAATTTGACTAAGGTTTTCTAGCTTTACTTTGTTTGGCTTCACCAATGAAACTACTGAGAGACTTTCTTTTCTTGTGATATTTAAGGGCATATGCTCTATAAAACTTTTCACAATGAAGAAACCTTCAAAGTGTGATGGTCTTCCTTCAAAATGCTTTTTTTCTGATTTTCTTTTAAATTTTACCATTAGTAAATTAATTTTTTTACCAGTTGTGCCAAGCAAACTAGTTTTGAATGCATTTGAAATACTAAGACATATTTAACAATGTATCCAGCACATTTAACACCACGTGTGGCTAAGTTTTTTGGGACTCATTCAATTAATTCAGAGCGCTTTATTCCTATTTTAATTAAAGTAATGTACAAGGATTCTTTATCACTTGAAGTAGAAAACACTCTTAAAAACATCGACTACAACCGGTATTTTGTCATTTTGCCTTTTGGATGAACTACAGAAATAAAAGAAAGCACTGAATTTTAATTCAATTAAAATAATTGTTGTTAACCTTACCAATCAATCAAACAGAAGATAAACTCCCGAAAAAACGAACAAAAGAAAGTTGAATGTCATCAATTTCCGTTTTACAAGAGAATTGAGCAATAACTGTAACAACAACAATAGGAATAAAACGGAAACAATGAGTGATACATTTTAAATGAGCAATGCCGCAATACAAATAGTGACAGCGCAGCGAAGTTCAAACAAACACTACACATACACATTCACACAGTCATGTGTGCACGGTACGTCATTATTACCGCAGTCGCGGCCCAAACAAACGTATTGTTGTATCGCCGACAGTGTATTATAATGACGGGCAGCAGGTTGTTAGATGATGATTATTATTATTGTTGTTTACCCTTATTATTATTAGTCGTGTTGTGAATTTTCTTGTTGTTGCTATTGCCATTTGTGTTTTGTTTTGATTTTCGATTTTCTGAAATCCAATCACAACTTGTAGGCCATGAGAACTTACCCTTTTTTCGGCACTGTCACATGAATTAACAATCGACGATGATGTTGTCGATGCAGCTGTGGAGCCTGCAGCACCACCCAAATGATCTTGAGTATCCATTTCTGTTAGACTTGTATCCAATTGTTCTTGCTTTATCGATGGTATAAGGGGTAAAAAGTCATTTTTACTAAGATTTGATAGTTCCTCCAACTCCATGATGGCAACAGTTTGTTATTGTTGTTGTGTTGTAAATGGGAAAGGGAAGTTCGTCGTGGCAATTCCTTTGTTTAGAGGATAGTTGCAATACACTTTAATGTACACAGAGAAATGCTTTCCAAACTATAGGTATTTCTTTTAGACATTTTGGTGTCAACAATTTGTTGTCATTTTGTGAACACCAAACACAAGAGACAAATTAAATTTTGTTTTCTTATTGAGAAAGGTTATTTTCCTTGTTTTGCTATTCTGTTGTTTATTTGCTTTATTTCTTATTGTGTTGTTATGGTAATTCGCAGCGGCATGATAAACACAGCCGGGCCCATACGCTACGAACGAAGCAAGGGTAGATTGCAGCCGTTCAGCACAACGCCACTTCACAGGGTCTCATTAACATCACGTTGGCGACGTCGTCTTCGTTCGTAGTTGTGATAGCCGTTGTCTCCTCCGTTATTAACTTTTCTACACAAGAGACACACCGCACACATGCAAACTTGTAAGTTTAAACACCGATGGATGACACCGAACGCGATTCGAATGCGAATTTGCGGCAGAAAACGTAATGAACGATACGCCAAAGTAAAGTAATGAAGTAATCAAACTTTCGCGACGTCGTATGTTACTGTACGTACAACGTGGGAAGAGTAAATTGGCACGAAACGGCAGAAACAAAGCAAAAGCGTAAAAATACTTATGTTTGCTTATTTGTAACGAAATCGAAAGAGCAAAATTCACACAAAGGAGTGTCAAAAAGCACAATAAGAACAAAAATATCCCAGTTTTGAGATTTTCATAAAATGTTGCCGTTCTATTTCGTTTGTCACTCGCACTTTTTGCCGTGTGTCTTATTGAGAATATTCACTGCAATTCAATGGCATTTTCACTATTTAGAGGTTTCTTTTCTTTATGGCTCTTGAATAATATAACCTTTTTGTTGCTTTCAATTACACACACCACCACCGTCTCTCATTGCTTAGCACACATACACACCAAAAAAGTGAAAATTTTTCCATTTTTCATTGGGATTTCGCCAATTGAATGATGTTTTCTAGAAATTTGTATTAACTTAAATTGTGCGAAATTATTTGCATTCACTGCACTTGTATGGGTTGAACTTTTTTCAAAATTTCCAATAGAATATTTCCAAGTGAATTTGTTTAAAAATTGTCAATTTTTAAACTTTTTACTCGCTTTCCTCGCGTCTTATGTGTTTGCTGTTTTTTCTGTACAGATATTTTGACATTTTTTCAGTGGTTGTTTTCTACATGGGTTGGAAAGGGAACACACGAGTGTGAATGAATCTTGTGTTTCATTAAATTGGCTACCGAAATGAAAAGCGCTGCCAGCAAATCAGTCAAGTATGAAATGCAACCCTGGTCTTGGTATAGCAGCTAATAGCCAATTTACACTATTTATAAAACATTCACTAGTTTTAATAGAATTTATATTGTAACATTAAAAATTATATAGTAAAATATGCACGTGAGTTTAGGTTGTATGCCAGGCATAGAGTGATGTGTCTATAATTTTTAACGTATAATTATTTCAAGGTAACTGTTTGTTTATTTATAAACATAATTTATTTTCTGTCGAAATTGTGGAATTCATACGTGGCAAGTTAAACATATTTGTTGGAAGTGCATGGTAGAATCAAAAAGGCAAAGTCATGCAATCATATGTTTACAATTTTTTTCAAAAATTATTCATTTGACAACATCTCGCATGGTAGAAGAATATAGGTAGACGCATCGACACAGCTGCTGAGACAATGAACTGTCAAACCAATTTTGGAATTGAAAATGTTGAATGAAAAATTATTTAAATTTATCAACATTGTTGAAAAACACGAACTATAATAACCTCGTCGTATAAGAAAACATATAAAAATCTACTTATATTTAAAAAACCATTTAAAATTTTTTGACATATCAATGCTCCCAAGCGTTGATGCATCTATCTGTATTCTTCTGCCATGACATCTCGTTTGTATTTATATATCCATTCTAAATTCAGAAATCAGAGATGGGAACCTGTTTTTATAAGTCAAACTTGATAAGGTAAGTTACAGGAAATGCAAAGATGAGAATGCTCATGGTACAATGAAGAGAAGGTAGTTCAACTTTGAAAAAATTGCAAGTATAGAGGTCTACCTGTTTGGCTTGTAATGTCAGAATTACTATCAAAACAATAAAAAAGCAAACAACTTGTTGCATTGGTTTTGAATAAATAGTTTAAAACCGCGAAAACTGAATGAATGGTCAAAATTTCTTTTCAATATCATGTTCTATATATCTCTTATTGTTTATTTCGCGACAAAAACTGTAGATTTTGTCGATGCATTCGTTGCAATAAGCATTTTGAAAACACCCGAATTTGAATATTTTATGAACAATTTTTTATTATTGAAAAGAAGACACACACATAAGCAAATGAAGTTGACATATTAAGCCAGAAAAATAAAAAAATTTAAATCATATGGTAGTTCTGCCCTACCTTGAATTCATTGTACCATGCTTATTTGAAATGACTTTAGCTCCTTAATTTTACCATGCTTAGATCTTGATATTATTGTTGGTTACTTTGAAATAAATTTAGCACGCTGCACACATAAAACTAGTACAATTTATAAGCATTTGAATATATTTAAAATCGGTAACCCCTGGTAGAATTATTGGAGAAGAAGCAACATTACAATACAAACAATAAATAAAAATAAATTCTCACTAATATGAATAGAAGAAATGGTTGTTTTTCTCCCAAAGATTTATTATATAATTAATTTTATAATTTTCATTCACGTTTTCAACTTTTTGTGTAAATGTTGACATTTTGAACATATTTTTGTATTTTTCTATTTTTAAATTTTGCTAGAGAGACACTTGTCAGACATTTTTTCTGCCAATACAAACATTTTGAAAATATTGCCTCTTTTGTTTCCAGTTTTCTGTGGAAATTACAACTCGTGGGCAAAATGGGTACCTCGGATGAGAGAGAAAACTAAATTTACTTTCGTTTGAATGTACATACGCTATTAAACGTTGTAGGTTTAATTCATAATTTTCAGTCTTCCCAAAAATTTTTAAAATTTCATCAAATTTTTCTATTTTCAATTTTTAAATGTCATAATTTATTTTTCCGATAAATGCTCTCATTTGTTAGGGATGGGACATATTTTTTCGTTGTTCTGAGAGTGATTTGATTTGAACAAAGTACAAATATGAGTGTTCGCTCTGGAAATTGTGTGTGAAGAATTAAGTAGTTTTTTCATAGTTAAGAGTCAAACACCGAATAGAGAGCGAATCAAGTGCAGTGGAAACGCAACATTACAGTGTTAAATATATTTTTAAACATTCAACAATTCAACATAAGGTGTGTCTGGTTACTTTTCCAGCAGGAATTGTCCAGCAACTTCTTTCTGAGAGAGTAAGGTAGTTTTATTCTCTTTTGCAAGGAAAATGCGAAAAGTAAACAGACGCTATTCCTGCAGAAGCTTGCAACTAATCAGCTGATTTGTCAAAACAAACCAATTTGTCCCCCAAGGAGAATTAAACCAAAGGAACCAATACTAATTTTACAAGTTTTTTAAATAAAAATGTTGCAAATAGTCTTTTATTTTCTTATTACATATTAACATTTACGTTTTTCACATTTTGTAAAGTTGTTCTCCAAAAACAATTAGTCTTGCTAATTCCAAAACAATATTTTCAAATTAAAATCACAAAAAGAAATAAATAAACAATAGAAAACATCTGATTGAATGTCGATGAATGAGAAGAAGAAGAGTTGCAAGAGATTGCAAGAAGAAATTTTTCCAGCAAGAATTTGCAAACTCTCACTGAATGAACTGTCAAAATTTCTCTCTCCAACCGCTCTCTTTTGCAGAACTTTCGGGTTAACAGACGACTTCTAGTAACAATTTGTAACAATTGTTACAAATTTTAGGGTAACCAGACACACCTATAATTACTGTACTGGGAAAAACCCACAAAAAGAATGAAATATTGGGGTTACTCCACAATACTGCATTTTTTTGACAGTATAGTTACAACAAAAGAAAAATTCTGTTTAGAAGGTAACTCTAAACCTTCTATAATTGTGCCATGATTTTCACTTTTAGGTACAGAAAGATATTTCTATTAAAAATTTAAAAAAAAAAAATGTTATTGTTCCAGTTTCTTCGCAGAGAATAAAAGAGCTGTATCTAGTTCTGAGAGCCCACTTCAGTGAATAGATACATTAAACAGGTTTTTTTGACGCCGCCAAAGAAAAAATCGCTCCAGTTCGTTGTCTGATTCCGGCACGGTACAGGGAAACGCTAGTAAATAAATTAAATATTTAATATTTATCTATTAAATAGTTACTTGGTAAAGAAGCCCCCGGAAATTCCTAAAGAACATCATGGAAACTTTGCTAGAACAGCAAAGACGTTACCATGAGGAACGCGAACGTTTGGTCAAACTCATGGTCGATGAGTATGCCAACAAGAAAGCTAATGAAAAAGACCGCATTTATTCCGAACATCGGCTAAAGTACCTACTGGACATGCATTACAACTCAACGTCAAAGCTAAGAGAACTCTATGAGGATAAGGATAATGAGAGGAAAGCCGAAATTCAGGCACTTTCAGGACCAAACGAATTTAATGAATTTTACAATCGTCTGAAACAAATCAAAGAATTCTACAAGAAGCACCCGAGCGAAGTAAGCATTCCCTTGTCGGTGGAATTTGAGGAAATGGTAAAGGCGTACAATAATCCTGATGAAATGTCTGCCTTGGTGGAATTTACGGACGAAGAAGGAGGTGGTCGTTACTTGGATTTGAATGAATGCTATGAGATGTACATCAATTTACGAGGCGTGGAGAAGGTGGACTACATTACATATTTGATGACATTCGATCACGTCTTTGACATTGCCAAGGAGCGAAAAAACAAAGAATATAAAAAATATTTGGAAGCTTTAAACGAGTATTTGCACAATTTTATAATGCGAGTAGATCCATTACATGATATTGAAGAAGAGTTGGTGAAGGTTGAGTTAGAATTTCAAAAGCAATGGCTACAAGGTACCTTCCCCGGCTGGGCGAGCAAAGAAACCGAGTCGGCCTTGGCAAATACTGGTGCTCACTTGGATCTCTCTGCATTTTCCAGTTGGGAAGAATTGGCTTCACTTGGGCTGGATCGTTTGAAATCTGCACTAATGGCTTTGGGATTAAAATGTGGCGGTACCCTGGAAGAGAGGGCACAACGATTATTTTCCACAAAAGGCAAAAAGACATTGGATCCTTCGCTCATGGCCAAAAAACCTTCCAAAAGTACAACTGTACAATCCAGGGAAAATGAGCGACACAAGGAAATTGCGCAATTGGAAGCTTATTTATATAAATATGCCGAACTGGTATCGGAACAAAGAAGTGCTACCAAGGAAAATGTTCAACGCAAGCAGGCGCGAACTGGCGGCGAGCGTAACGACAGTGATGTCGAGGCCAGCGACTCAGATTTGGACGATGATCCAGATGCCGATGATATTCCATATAATCCCAAAAATCTTCCTTTGGGTTGGGATGGCAAACCTATACCATATTGGTTGTACAAACTGCATGGCTTGAATATAAGTTACAATTGTGAAATATGTGGCAATTATACATACAAAGGACCGAAAGCATTTCAGCGCCACTTTGCCGAGTGGCGTCATGCTCATGGAATGCGATGTTTGGGTATACCGAATACAGCGCATTTTGCCAATGTAACACAAATTGAGGATGCTATTACGTTGTGGGAAAAATTAAAATCGCAAAAAACAGCGGAACGTTGGATAGCAGATCAAGAGGAGGAGTTTGAAGACTCCCAAGGCAATGTAGTGAATCGTAAAACATATGAGGATTTGAAGAGGCAAGGTTTGCTTTAAGTAAATTTAAAAACACCAATATGGGACTAAAAAGGAAAAATAAAGTATGAGTACGAAACCATAAAATAAATGTATTTCAAGATATTTCTGCGTTTAACGATAGACCTATGGTCTTTACGGATGTAAGTGGTAACAATGAAATTTCTTGTTTGGGACCCGAACATTTCAAATCACTGCGAAGCCAGGGAAAGTCCTGTAAACTACAAACATGTTATCGCTGTAATGGACAAGAATTTGAAAAAAGTAATACCTACCTGATAGTGAGGATTATGTGAGAGCCGCACAAAACCAACTTGATTGGTATATATCAATACTTTAAATTTACAATCTGATGGCAGTTTATCTAAGGCTTTTACTCTTTCGGCCAGGCAATAAAGCGATGCCCTAAGTTGTTCTTCCATGTCCATAAGAAACTCATCTTCCCCAGCTGTGCGCTCGGTTAATGGCTTTATTTGAAATCTATATCTCTCGTAAATTTCCACATCATCTTTATACAGTAAGACTTCTACGCCTTCCAGCTCTCCAGTCCTAAGGAGTTCTCTTATTGTTCTTAAAACTTTGTACAAATATGTGTTTAATGGCGGATAAATTGAGGCAAATACCGGTGTATTATATATTTTACGTTTCTTAAAGATTTGAGATGGATACACATCCCTTGTATAGAGTATGTGATTAATAAACACTTCTATAGCTTCAATAATAATGTCATTTAGTTCTGCAATAATGGGAAAATAATGTTAATTGAGTAATTAGTGGTATATTGTGCAACTTACCATTATCCATTATAAAACCGTATTGGTTTTAAGGAATTATGAAGGGAATGGTTGGAATGAACATTATACATACTATTGGTATACCACGGAACGGCTTTTAATACTATTGGTTTCATTTTCTAAATGGAATTAGGTGAACTAGTTGCGTACTTTAACAGCTGAACAGGGTTTCTCGACTTCCTTCCAGTGAATATTTCCTTTGAATGGATTATTGTTTATTTCTATAACTCGAGCAGGAGGATTTACTGCTCCTTTCTTATACGTTCCTACACTTATACAGGAGTATAAAGTTGCTCCGTAAGCACACGACAATTTATTTAAAATCACGAGAAAAAATTATTTGAATTATAGCGAAATTTCTTCCAGTTTATCAAAAAGCCGCCTTTGTTTACATTTGTCTCCACAAACATTGACAATTCACAATAACTGACTCCCCATCGAACGGAAGCATCCACAACAGCAGCAGCTATATGCCATAAGCATGAATCTTGAACTTCTTGAGTCTTTCGGCCAAAATTATCCAGAAGAATTTGATGGATCTTTGGATTGTATATCCCTGGCTGTGACATGTGTATTCAACAAATATGGAACTCTGTTGGCGGTGGGATGCAACGATGGTCGTATTGTTGTTTGGGATTTCCTTACACGCGGTATTGCCAAAATAATATCGGCTCATGTTCATCCCGTTTGCAGTTTAAGTTGGACAAGAAATGGTCACAAGCTACTGTCTGCCTCAACGGATAACAATGTTTGTATATGGGATGTATTGTCAGGAGAATGTGAACATAAGTATCGATTCCCCTCACCCATACTTAAAGTGCAATTCGATCCCCGCAATGACAAACGATTTTTGGTGTGTCCCATGCGTTATGCAGCGGTTTTGGTGAAAATTGGAGAATCCCATAAATGCCTGCCTCTTGATTCTGATGGCGATTTAAATATAGTGGCTTCGTTTGATAGACGTGGTAAGCATATCTACACCGGCAATGCCAAAGGCAAAATAATGGTCTTGGATGTGGAAACATTGGAGGTTGTGGCAAGTTTTCGCATAATAGTTGGTACATCCAGTGCTACAGCTGTCAAGAGCATAGAGTTTGCCAGACGAGGTGATGGTTTTCTCATTAACACATCCGATCGGGTGATACGTGTCTACGATTCCAAAGAAGTCTTGGCTTTGGGCAAAGATGGCGAGCCGGAACCAATTCAAAAACTTCAGGATTTAGTAAACAAGACAACGTGGAAAAAATGCTGCTTCTCGGGAGATGGAGAATACATATGTGCCGGAAGTGCCCGTCAACATGCTCTGTACATATGGGAAAAATCCATTGGTAATTTGGTAAAAATTTTGCACGGCACCAAAGGTGAGTTGTTGTTAGACGTTGTGTGGCATCCTGTACGTCCGATTATTGCAAGCATAAGTTCGGGTTTGGTTTCCATTTGGGCCCAGAATCAGGTGGAAAATTGGTCAGCATTCGCCCCAGACTTTAAGGAACTTGATGAGAATGTAGAATACGAAGAACGTGAATCGGAATTCGACATAACCGATGAAGATAAGTCAGTAGATTTAAATGCCGATGCTAAATGCGATGAAGAAATTGAAGTAGATGTGACAAAAACCGAACCAGTGGCTGCTTTTTGTTCATCGGACGAGGAAGGTGAGGATGAGAATGCCTTACAGTTTTTGCCAATGGCTCCCGAGGTTGAAGATCCTGAAGATGGTTGGGCTGTGCAAGATGGCCTTGAGGGCGGTGGCAGCAACTCTAAAGATACGGAATCGTCAACAATGCACGATTATGGAGAAGTAGTGGCTGCCAAAAAACGTAAAATGAATAGCTACGACATTTCGCTGCCAGACGCCCCTGTCGAAGAAGTACATCCATTAGTGTCCAGTAAAACAAACAAAGACAAGCAGGTTGGGGGTAAAAAGGCAGCAGGACGACCTAAGAAGTAGTTATAAGAATACAAATTGTATAAAAATAGATTTAATAATAAATATAATACCTAAACCCTTATGGCAAAAATAATAGAATTTATTCTTTTTGATTTCATGATTATATGTGTTTCGGTTGTTTTAATAATATAAATAACTTAAAAATACTGTTTTTAAAATTATATAAAAATACATAACAAAGAGGAGAATGGAAACATTTTTAATTTCCAAAAAGATTTGCCGCCATAATACGTTTATCATGGCATGAAAGATGAACAATTTCTCCGTTTGGATAACGCACAAATGCACTTTGGTTAGCGAAACGTTTTTTACATTCCGGGCATGTGGTAAACTCATTGATTTCAAAGCTAATATTCTGTTGTTCCCGTACCAAATCGGTACATCTGCGAATCTCGGCCTGCAGCAGGGCTTTCTTCATTTCCATGTGATGCTCATGGGCTGTTTTGGTACGAATAACTGTATCTAGATAGTTTAGCATTCTATGCACTGGCATTTCGTCGGGTAAGAACTACATATAAAAATATAACAAAAAAGCTTTTAATTGGGAAGGATGTTTGCCAAATTAAAAACTTACCGGCCATATTTTACTTGGATCAATTTTGGTCCCATATTTATTTAGCAAATTTACTGCTACATCTTCATTGGGCTTCTTAAAACCTTCATGGAGCTCTACACCTTCATATGGCGGAAATTTCATTGGACTGAGTATTGTCTTGAGGAGTAGAAAGAATATATCAGGTTCGTCATCATAATTCCTTTCACAATATTGTGCCGCCTTGTCCACATCTCCCAAGATTTGTATATAAATTGCCAACACTTTTTCATGTTTCTTCAGGCGTTCCAAGATTAAAGCTCTTTCTTCCAACAATATATTGGTTGGAAAATCTTTTAAAATGATATCCGGTGAATAATTTGTGGAGTTCTCCAAGATATTGTACAGTTTCGTGCGATAATCCCTCAGCTGATCTTTCAGTCTTTCCGTAGCCATATCTGGGTTATCCAAATCTTTCATAATATTCTCAACTTTTTCACGGTATTGCTTGATTAGAACATTATGTATCAGCGTATTATGATCTTTCCAAACATTGATAACGTGTTCCAAATAGGGTATTACCAACTGTTTATGGTGGCTTAGTAAAAAGTCCAGCACTGTGGCCCGTGGGAGATTTTCTACTTCAATGAAATCATCTGTAAATATTCTTAAACCTTTCTCTGGATCAGCCTTCAAAATCCAATCGGAAAATTCCAAAATTAAGTTCATGTGTGAAGAGCCTAATTGTTGGAGATAACGTATGGTTCGATCATACCCATATAAATTTGAGCCCTCTTTCTTAGCCTGGGACTTGAGTAATTCCAAAGCCTTCTTGTGCTGTCCATTGGTCTGGTACAGTATAATTAATTCGGAAATTTTATCATGCTTCAATAACGTTTTTTCCGATTCCTCCAAATGACATTGGTTCAATCGCAGCAGTGGAGCAATCAAGGAATCATTGGTTTGCAGATAACATTTCAATAGGGTGGTATCGATAATCGACAACAATGATTTGGATGCATTTTTCGAATCGCGTAGCTTAACTACTTCTTTTTGCCGGGCAAGTGCCAAAAATTCGATTAAAGCCAGCAGAGCTTTCTCCAAATCTTTGTCTTCCAACTGAGGCATGTTGCTGACTTGTGGTACTGTGGCATCGAAACTATCTGCGGATGCCTTATCTTGCAAAAGATTTGGAAAGAGTCTTATAACGTCATATGGATTTGCTTGCGCTTTCTCAAATTCATTCATGGCAGCCGAAAATTGTTTTAAGGCAAACAATTCCTTGGCATAACGCATATGAATTTGACGTATAGTTTCAGCTTTGGCCAATTCTGGTTCATCCGATATGTTCTGGAAAAACAAAACATTTTATAAGTAGAACTTTTTATCAAAAAATATTTGAAACTTACAGTCAACTCAATGGCTAGTTGAAATTTTTTCTGCTGTAACAATTGTTGTCTCTGTACAGATATATCCACCATACGTATGCACCATAGTTCGGAAATTGCAGCTGCAAATATTGTACCACGCCCCGAACGTACCAAATGTTTTGTTTTACTTAATTCGGGTATAGATTGCACGAGTGTGTCTTTGTTAATGCCATTTGCTTCTAAACAGCGTATCTCGATGCCATTTGCAACACGACCCACAACAAATGGTTCATCCCAGACAAGAGCCAATAGTGGACCTGACCACGTTATTGGTTGTAGCGGATTTTTTCCTTTATTCGACGTGGAAGAATCTAGTGCTCCTTGGACTTTTGCCTTGTCGTCTTTACGCGCCTTATATACATCGGGATCAATTGTGACAAGATATTCGTCTTTGGAAACACCTATTATATCTTTTAGGAGGCAAATGCACGGATCCATGTTGTGAGAGGATGATGTTACAATGAGATCATGTTTCTCAGTTTTGTTATATTTAATCTAAAATTTAAATTGCAGAAAAAAATTAAAAAAAAACATTTTTATTGGAAAAGCTGCTTACATTAAATATCACGTATTCATCCTTATAACCGACGCATATCAAATCGTCTACCCAACACAAAGCCTTGGGGACATCTTTCAATTCAATACTGAAATCTGGTGATTCCAAAATGTACGGTTTCCAATAGAAAAACTGTAGACGCCTTTTGATGACACAGCAAACTCTAAGAACGTTGACAGTTTTGCCCGTAGTCGATTTGGTGGTCTGAGAAAATAATAACACAGGGAATTGTTTCGCTAAGAAATGTTTGATTATTCACCATACCTTAACATCCATTGTAAACAGACTACATCCTTTGGTAAGTTCGGAACTATGTATAAAACTAAAATTCTTCTCCATATGACTAATATCGCATACATGTATCATGGCATCCGTTAGAACAAACAACAAGCTCTCCGCTTCTATTACCTCCATTTGGGCAATGGGTTTTTTGCTGAAATTCTTATTGAACATCAACATATCTACTGCTCCATTTTCATCCACTGAATACATGATCAGTTGACCACTACGTGTGCCCAGGATTACATTGTTGTCTGCAGAACAGTTAAGGGAGTGAGTTTGTGGAAAATTTCAAAAAACAATTGAACTTACTATAGGCTGCTATTGACTCGATGTGAACGCCTTGCTTTAGTATGGAATGTATGTGGTAAGACTGGTGCATTTTGGAGCAGGAAATCAGAACTTATTGGCTTTTCTTCTCCTTGGTGGGGATTTGCTTGCGATTCCCCTATTGAATGACGAGAACAAACAATTTACGAAAAGAGAAGTCACACAAAGCCTACCAATTAGTTGTGACGCCGACATTAGCTATTGATTAAAACGAAGCAGGAGAATAAATTGAGTTAAAATATTAAAATATCCCGATATTTTGGTAGATTTATTTTTATTTTGTTGTTAATTTTCTCATTAGATGAACTTATTCATAGACATTTTAACATATTTATTTTATCAATTTGATGTCGACGGCAATAAGTTCATGGCTCGGAAGTTTTGTTGAAACAGCTGTTTGTGTTTCCATAATCATTATTGGTTGCCAAGTTCAAAGAATTCTTTTATTTACTGCAACATGATGTAATTCGAATCATATTTTTTTTTTAATTCAAGAGTTGCTTTTGTAATTCATTTATTCAATTCATTTCGAATTAGTTCATTTGAAATTCGAAATATTTTCTTCTTCGAATTATAAGAATCACAAGTGGAATATTCAAATTTCAAATGGAAGAAAAACAATCGAGTTACAAATGAAAAATTGCGAATTTGAAATGGAATTTTACGAATTACAAACGAATTTCTCAAATTACAATGGAAATGTTTTTGAATAAAAATGTTAAAAATTACATCTGAAAATGGTGTAGACAGGGCTTTGGGTAAGAGAACGTAATTTTGTCAGAATTTTTAGAAATATATTATTGGTTCACTGTATTGCTGTAGTATTCGAAAAACGTAACCTTTTATGGTATGCTCTTACATCGTTTCTTTATAGTCTAGCTTTGTTATCCCTTACTTTAGGAAAAGTTATCGGTTTTTCTTTATTACATCTTTCCTTTAAATAACATGAATTCAGTAAACTTTATTTTCAAAAAATTTTTATACAGCTTGTTTATTTTTTTTTGCTCATGGCAACCATATTGAAATGCCAACAGCTGTTAATGCAATTTTCCCAGAATTGGAAAAATTAGTTCAATGTGATGAGCGTTCTTTCCTGTTCAAATTTATTAAATGGTGTAAATAGATCTTTTTGCTGATTGTTAATCGATCTTTCCCCATATATATTTTTTTCAATTTCGATGGGTTGCCACTTAAGTATATTTTGGCGATTAATTGTCTATATTGTTCTTGGTTAAGCTAGTTCAATTGTCCTTTGGTGAATGGTTCAATTGAACTACTACCCACCACTGATGCCCAGTTTATTATTTGTTTTTGTTTGTAAGTTCAGATTGGTCAGTTGGGTCTGTCAAATAAATAAGAGTTGATGTTGGTACGCGAGGGACTTGTAGACCTTTTGTAATTAAATTAAATTATTCTTTTTTTGTTTAATATAAAGAAAAAAAACGAACCAGTTGTCCATAAAATGTGATACACCGATAAAAACAATGACATTTGTAGCAATGAGCCGCATCTGATGTTTGTTTTTGTTGTTAAGTAATTTCATGTAAATGCAGTGTTTTGTTGTGGCTGATAAATCCCAGAGGGTGGATCAAAGAACTCCTACTTATCAGTGAATTTTTATTGTTCTCAGCTCTTTCAAAATAAGACATTGATTTGATTCTAAATCAACGTATCATTTGAAGAGATAACAAAGGAATCTAATTCAAAATGGACAATTTGGAGAAACATTTTATGCTGCTATTGATGCCAGAAGAGCGGCAGTTTCTAAAGGTATGATTTACTAGACATGTCAATGGGTGGAAACCTTGGTTTTCGAATCAATTATCTTATGTCGATTTAAAAACGTGTATTAAGCAATATTTAACTGTTGAACTGACAAACTTGAAATATTTCACTAAAGCTATGGTTGCAGTTTAAGTAATGTATGTATATAAGTATGTTACTGCAATTATCTTACTATATGTATGTATGAACTGCCATCATGTAATAATATGAGATTGAGTAGTGTAAGATTGTTTCACTTGTGGATATAATTTTATATTTAAATAAGAATGTATTGTTTTATGGATAAAGGCTTGCTTCAATTCGGTATACATATTTAAATATTTTGATTTAAATATTGTCAAGTGCAAATGTATATAGTAAAATTTCATAATAGATTCCATAATGTAATATCAGATAAGTTTCACTGCCTAGAAACATTCTTACATTTGAAGTCCCTTTGAATTAGTTTTATTAAATAGCTCTTTCAGAATATTTAATTTTTGCAACAATTTACTCAAAAAATGTTCCTCTACAGAAAAAATGAGTAGGATCTTGTTATCTGTGGCACTAAAATTATTGACAATATTTTAAAAGGGCAAATGAATTTCTACCTTTATTTCAGTCTTTAATGATATTCTCTATTGCATTATGGGTAATTATCTTTATTTTCTTCTTTACAGCAATATTTACAAAATCCACAACTAAATAATAAAACCTTGCTGCGCCACAAACCATTTCGTCTGCTGCAAGAAAAACCCTATCCCGTTTTGAACATCCTACTCCTACAGCCACCTCATGTTTTGGTACACACAAAATGGTGCATCATTAGAACATTTGAAGATATGCTTCGGGTTGTTTCAAAATCTGGCATTACATCAAATTTCTTACGATTCCTCATACAAATACCCGATGATATACTCAACGAGGCGTTACAAGGTGATTTAAGAGAAAAATTCAAACAATGTCTTACCAATAGCCACCTGGAGGAAGAGCTTTACCTATCATTGCTGTGTCGCAAAGATCAACAATTGATAGCAGATATTATGGAATATTTAAAAGAGACACATTGGCAGTATTTTGAAAAACCTCTGGGAACAAAGGATTTTGTGCTCTATCATGCTCGAAAAACCAAAGTCCATTTTATATATCCAATGATTAAAGAGCTGAGGAATTTCAACGACATAGCAGATGCGACTTTAAGAAATAATTTAATTATTTTAAAATTAGTGCATGAATTTTCTTCAAATATTACTCGAAGTCTAAATGAGTTGCCTTATTTGGATGAGATACTGGATTCAATGGATATGGAAAATGTAGCTGAAGAATTGCTGCCAGTTTATACATTGTTCTACAAAGATTTCAAGCGTTTGTCAATACTATTACGTTATGTTGGTAAATTTCCAGAGACAACAACAGCCAACATAACCGTCGAAGAGATATTGGATTCCACAAATATTTTGGCCATAATAAACAAACATAAACTGCTAAATTCCTATGAGGAAGCCAAGGAGTTTTTGGAAACCTATTATACATGGCAACAAAATCTAGCAATGTTATCGCTGAAAGAAAACGAAACCGAAACCTTGTGCTGTTATTATATTCTATCTACAGTATGTGATATTGTTGTTACAACCACATTGGAAACGGAAGATTACTATTCCTCCAAACTAAAAACCATAAATTCTCTTTTGAGACAAATAAAAAACATGGAATTACTTTGCCAAATAATGGAGGATGTGTTAATGTTTCTCTATCTTAGATGGGAGCATTTCCGCAGTGACAACAAGAAGCAAAATAAGTATCACCAAAAATCCTCAGGTTCTTCGTACACCGATGATGACATCATACAAGACTCATCAACAAAATCGTCCAATGTAGCCAAGACAATGGAGGCAAAGTCTAATTTGAAAAATGTCAAAACCGGATTTATATGCCGAACAAAATCATTTGCAAGTCTTTGTAATTTTTTAAAATTGTATATTACCAAAAAACTGCACTCTGCCGAATACAAGCTATCTGCAGTGGATATAAAGCATCGTTTTTCCAGTATTCTAGACACAATAGGGGATTTACTTTGGAAATATGAATTTTTTGAAAAAATGGAACGTTCACAGGATCAGTGTCTGGCCAATGATACCTATATACAATTTGAGGGGGATCAGTTAATTCAGCTTGTTCATTTCCATGTGGACAACATGAATCGCATATCGAGCGATGATGAAGATATTAATGTGATAAATGAGTATTCAATGTCACGACGAAAGTCGATAAAAAAGAGACGTCGTGCTACATTTAGTGGCAATACTACAGGGGCGGCTGGCAAAGTGACAGCCTCTGAAGATCGTTTGCGACCCAACGTTTTATCCAATTCTGTTAAAATATTACCCACCTTGGATGTGACGGAGGAGAAAAGTGTAGTGCCGAAACTGTTAAGTTCTCCCGAACGTTTAGCAATTTTGGCATTATCATTTCGTCAATTTGGCGAAGCTAAACAAATTATTGAGGTATGTATAAATGTTTATTTAATTAATACTTAACTAAGAAATAAGATAAATTCTTTATGTTGTGGAATTTACAATAAGTGGGAACATTTCATGATAATAATAGTGAACTACATGAGGCTCTTCCCATTTCCTTTCGGCCCAAGAAATATGCATCCAGATTATAAAGAGTGGCAGTATCTAAGAGAGGTTAAAAAAAAATACCGTTGGATTGAAAAGGAACATTTGGTGATTAGGAAATAGTTTATTGTGACCTTAAAACAAATCAGAAACGTAGCACAATATTTTTTTTACCTACAGATTTATACCCTCAGCCTTGGGTTATGATTATTCTAATTGTTGACTCTTTTTATGGGGAAATATTCCACTTCATCTAGTAAAGAACAAAATATTTGTATGTGCCGACTTGATTGTGCTTGAGGTTCCAGAAGGGGTTGGAATCTTCACAACAGATCTTACGTTAGCAAATATATTTGCATATGCGAAATTTAAAGAGAATCGGATGCTTTCCAAATCTTGTACCCTATGTGGGGGAGGTACCAGAAGAAATGGTGCGATCTTTTTAACAGATCTTGTGTTGATGGAAATATTGAAATGTATCAAATCTGAATGGAATCGTATATTAATTTCGCGTTTTATGAGCTTCAAGGATACTCAAAATTTTTACTCCTTTTTTTTGAGGGGGAGGCACTTGAAGGAGTTGTCCGATGTTACCAATTTTCACACCAGATCTTGGGTTAATAAAATATTATGATGTAGGTATTTTGAAGAGAACCGGTTGCTTATTTCGGATTTTATAATCGTTTTGGTTATTCAAAATGTTGACCCATTGGGGAGGAGGTACCAGAAGGAATGGTCTGATATCTACCATCTTTATAAAAGATCTTGCGTTGATGGAAATATTGAGATGTACCAAGTCTTTAAGGAATCGGATGTTAATTTCATGCTTTATGAGCTTCATGAACGTTCAAAATATTGGCCCTTTGTGGGAGGTACCAGAAAGAGTGGACCGATATATTCCATCTTCACACCAGACCTTGGAATAATAAAAATAGTTTGAGGTGTGTAATTTGAAGACAATCGGATTCTTACTTCAGACTTTATAAGAGTTAAAGTTGTTCCAAATTTTGAGCCTTTGTGGGGGAGGTACTTGATGGAGTGGACCGATATTGTTCATTTTCGCACCTGATGATGCAAATATTAGGATATGCAAAGTTGGAACAAAAGCAGATTATCCTTTCTCTTTCTGTGCAATAAATTATTTTCTTTGAAAATGTTGACATTTTGTGGGGGAGGTGCCAGAAGGAGTGAATCAATTTTGCCCATCTCCTAACTCGATCAAAGTTTGACAATAATATTACGATGTACCAAGTTTGGATCAAATCGGATACTCCCTTCGAGAGTTATCGTGCGCACCAGTCAGACAGACAGGCGGATATCGCTAGATCGACTCCAAATGTCCTGAAACGCATTTGGTCCAAAGAGACCTAGGGTCTAAAACCGTTATTTCCATGAGACACGTTTTGGTCGTATCAAGCCCCCCTTGAAGCCACGTGGCTGAGGGTTTGTTGTAAAATTATAGACATATCCTTGTATCCTGGTTGTCTTCTTTTCATAGACAAAATACCAAAAAAAAAAAAAAAAAATACTTAAATAAAAGCAAGTTACAATAGGCTTATGATGCTTAAAACATCCGTTATTGTTATTAATTAAAGTTTGGCTTAATGGATTAAATCTATGGACCCATCTGGCAAACACTTTTGAATTTTGTTTTACTATAAAATTGTTAAAAAAACGATTAAATAATTTCCTCCTCAGAGCGTAAATGATATAAAAGATCTCACTCACTTCCTTATTACAGAACTTCAGTTTACACGATTCTCAACTGCATGCAGAATTACAACATATGGAACAACAAATGCAGGTTAAACAAAAGCTTTCGGTGATTTACGATAACTATCAGCAACAGGAGAAACAATCGCGTGATACGAATGAACCCATGCCCACGGTAGACCTTATACGAAATGTTGCAGCAAAAGGATTTGAAATATCGAAAATAATAAGCATCATTGATAATTTTGCTCAAATGCAACGTATTAAACAATCCGAACAGGTTAAAGATTTGATCAAGAAACACAAACAAAATCCACAGTATCGATTCCTTTCACAGTTCGAGGAAGCCAATTTGAATGCTGTAATTATTTGTGATTTGACATTGAGCATGCCGTTCAATCGTGACATAACTACGAGTATCTTAATGGTTATCAAGCGTCATCAGGCCATACAGTCGCATTTTAATGAAACCGAAACGGTGACAGAAAAGTTGCAGCTGCCCTCCAACATTGGTCCATTACATTTTTTGGAAAACCTAGCTGACTGTATGCGGGTGCAGGGTGAGAAAACCATCAAGGATCTGTTATGTGATAACATTTATTCTCTCAAACCTCAAAAGTTGACCAGCGAAATGGCTAAAGAGCGTATTTTTGAAGAGGTTTTCCACAAGCGCCCAAAAGATTTGAGTCGATGCGAAGATTTGAAGGCGCTGATACCACAATTTGCTGCACTGAAATCTAAATATAATTATTATCAACGTTTCTGCAACTACGTGCAACATCTCACAATGTTGGTGCATCTGCGCGATGCCAACTGTGAATACCACATAGAGGAATTGTTGAAAATTGATGTGTGTGATGTAATTGGCGAACTGATATTTATGCGTAATATGACACCTCTGGAAATTGAGGCCAATGTTTCGGCGTTAAATTTGAATTTAGTTCATGTCATAGCTTTGAATATTTGCCCGGAAATATTGGGTAAAAGTCCTGGCCAAAAACGTGTCATTCCTCCACAAAAGGAGTCAACCATTCTCAATTATATTGCCAATTGTAATCGTTTATTGGTTTTCCTTCTACAAGGCATTATCAGTAATGGGGAACATTTTGGCAGTGAAGCCACAAATGGAGATGGTCCAATTAATGCCAGCTATTTGGAAAGACTTTTGAGGATGCCTGAAATATCCAAGCTATCAACAATGTACGCTGGCAATAAGGTAATTGCTGCCTTAAGAAGCGATCATGTTGGCATAAGATTACTACATGAAATCAAATCGAAGAGAAAGCAATTGGAGCTATTGCAATTGGAAATGGGTATACAAGGTATGTACAATGTTCGAGTTGTTTTGTCATAAAAGAAAAATGGAATGTAGAACAATTCCCTAATTGCATTTATTGTATCCTTTCAGAATCTCGACCTTTAAAACTGAAACGCATAGATTGTCTAATTATCGAATTGATACGTGAAGATCCCAAAAATATTTATTTAGCTGCCAAAATCCATGACATTGCAATACGTGCCAAATTAATATACGAGAACTTTACAAAAATCTCCACAATACGTTTGGCCAAAGAGTTAATTGAGACAACATTGCATCATCGCCATGCTGGCAAGAAAATACCTCAAGAGCTAAGGGAACAACTGGAAGCAACACTGGCCGATATAACAGTGTACGCCAAGGTTTCTGATGTTCTGCTCTTTGAGACATGGCCTCAGGCTTATGATTTCGGTTTGAAAACTCCCACGACGATATTTGAACGCTTGCTACAATTGCGTCTATACAAACTTTGCTTTAAATGGTGTAAGGTGGTTAAATTGGATCAGTTTGTGCCACAGCGTAAACAATTTCTCAATATTCTCTTAGAGACCCTTATGAGTTTGGCCGATGAAGATCAAATGGAGAATTTCGAAACAAACGATTATGAGTACTTACTGAAAATATTGGAAACATTCTTTCCGCCAGATGAATGCAAGAGTTTTCTCAATTTAAACAAGGATAAATTGCGTTGTATGACGTTGCTGAAGTTTGCTATTGAATATTTGGATCGAGCGGCCTTGCCTGAGGAGAAAAGTTATTTTCAAAATTATAAAATCTCAATAATTATATTTGAACAATTACCGCCATGCCTACGCAAACTTTGTTGGAGCCTGCTAAAGTACCCTCTGTTGATTGTCGAACAATTGATTATGAATGCCAAATTTGAGATATTAACTAAGGTTTTGAGTACAGTAAGGCAGGAGCTGGCGAAAAAGGAACATGAGTACAAGAAATTATGTTCGTTTTGTTTCGATAAGAACGGCAATGTTTATAATATGCAAGTCGCTGCACCCAATACTCCGCATAAGGTACGCTTCCAGCTGGGCTCCCATGAATCAACGAATGTATCTGCGTTTATTCTGTTGAATTTTAACCTCTACCAGAAGGATCATTTTATAACAAATGATTGCATCGATCTGCTCTTGAGAATATATGCCACGAAAGCCTTGGATTATCAAATCTCTGATGCAAATTCAACATCCGAGCCAGGTTCACATAGTACCTGTGATATGCAACAATCTTTGGATTCTTTGTGTGGTGCCTTTCAAATGCCACCTCAGGCCCCGACTCGCAGCGAATGGGTGCGAGACGAAGAGGCCACACACTGTATGTGCTGTCGACGTTCAGCGTTTTCAATGCTAATTAGAAGACACCATTGTCGTCGTTGTGGCCGTGTTGTGTGCTATTCTTGTTCGGCGCACCGTATGCGTATCCCAGAGCTCTATGAAGATGTGGAGGTGCGTATTTGTAATGACTGTCAACGTTTGTGCGAGGACATCAATCAGCGTAAGGCGAATCGTGATAGTCAAATTGAAGATTCACCAAATTTAACGGAACAACGTATTCGCCGCCGGCCAGAAGAACGTTTCAAATGGAAGCTGAGCGGCAACATTACACACGATAAACTCTTGAGGGAAGAGTTTTGCTATGAACATGCTCCCAGTGTGGCTTTGTGTTTATCAATATTGGAATATCACCTGGATAAGCAAAGATGTGTGGATCTGTTGCTATTCCATTGTCGCAAGTTGGAAAAGTTAATGGTGCCCAATCCAGAAGTTGATTATGAGTTGGTGGCGAAAATGATGAACTGTTTGGCTTTGGCTGCAAAGGTGAGCGAAGGATTCTCACATATCATGTAGATTGTTGAAAACTCTTATAACCTCCGTATTTTCTCTTCAAAGGTTCGTGGTGCTTTTGCTGAATTCGAAAGGATACGCGAGCATTCCGAAATAATTATATCAGTGGTGCAGAACGGTTGTGAATCACTAATACCACCTGATCCACTTAATAACAATGGCTTGAGAAAACTGGCTGACTCATTGGTTCAGGCCGAAAGATGGGATTTGGCCTTGGAAGTGCATTTGAAATGTGGCTTGTCTACGGCTGGTGTAATGGCAGCCCATGGTCTTTCGTGTATTCGTGCTGGTTGCTTTGACACAGGTTTGTAAAACTTTTTATTATTTCTTTTGTAAAACTCAAAGCGAAATAACCTGTCTCCTGCTCCATAGCCCGTGAAAAATTCTATCATTGTATGCCCAAGCTTACCAATGAATCGATCAATGCTTCAATAACAAAAGTTATATTTAATCCAAATTTAAATACAAGTTGTGATAATGTGGATGGTGTACTTGCCCTACCCAAAGACCATGATATTTCTGTTATAAAACGTCCTCAAAATGGTCCCCCATTGCTGCAGGAAATTTTAAAACTCATTGAATCTCTGCCGTTTAATAAACCCCAACCTGAAACGTTGCAAAGAGCTTCCATTATACGCAATTCCAACTCTTCGTTGGCATCGTTATTGTCACGTAAAAAGGAACCCTATGTAAAGCGTATAAATGAGCCGGCAATAAATGTACTCAATACTTTGGCAAACCTAAAACGTATTAGCAAAGGACAATATACAGCGGGCATGAATGGTAGTGGAAATTCGACCTCAGTTCTACAGCCTTCCACACAGCAGCGCAAAGATATCTTCCGTAAAACGCGTGGCTTTGAGGAATGCCTTTATTATTTATTAACCTATGGATCTCACACTGATATAGTGCAGTTTTTAATGCATCACAATGACACAATGGCCACCCTCAAGTATTTCTTGCTGCAAAAACTGGATGCGGAAATTTTTATACATCATATTTTTATGGAATTGCTTAGAAAGGGCCAAATTGCTGGTCTCATAAAACTGCTCATGGATTTCGATAATCGTCTGATAATTTGGCAGCCAATACTGCTGCAAACTTGTCGTTTTTTGGAAACACAAAATCTCCTGAACTCTCTATACGAATTACAAATATTGCTGAAAGATCCCATCCGGGCATCAATGACCTGTGTAAAATTCTATAGCATGGATTGTGCAAACTTCCAGCAACAACATTTGAATGCCCAACATTTACACAATGCTCACATGCATTTGCAATCGGAATTGGACAGTGTCCAATGGGAGAAGATCAATTTAATGCCTGTGGGGAAATCGAATAAAGGTGGCAGCCGGCGATCCAGTGTGTCGAGTACAACCGGTTCCATCGGAGGTGGGGGTAATTTCTGTTTACAAATGGACGCCAGATCACTGAATGCCCACATTAATACAATACTAAATCAATTGGAAGTTGCCAAGTTTTTGGCCAAATGCGAGGAAGAGAATAGTTCAGCAGACACGTTGATAACAGAGAAGTTTTTGAAACAGGTATGTATTGTGCCAGGTGCCAATTGGATTTGCATTGCTAATAAAAATATGTTCAATTTTTAAGCTGCGCGTTGAACCAACAAAGTCTTTACCCACCCTGTTCGATAGAACTCCTGAGAAAATACAAATTTGCATTTTGATTCTTTTGTGTGGCAAAAACATAGAAGAAGGATTTGGTCTGGCCTACAGGTATTGATGGAATCACATGTATAATATTTTTGTTATTTTTTCGATATTTATATATTCTATTTTTTTTTTTTTTTGTAGAATTATTCAACATTATAAGTTGCCGGCATTGAAAGTATATGCAGCCAGCGCCAAATATTTAGCCCTAAATCAACGTCTTCCAGAAATTGAAAAACTTATAAACTGCATTACCAGCAACACGGGCAGTAATAATCAAGATATTGATGAAATTCTTATGGTGGCCATTAACTCGGCCGTCAATAATCATGAAACCGAAACCAAGACAATTTTAGATAGTCTAACAAAGAAAATACACAATGTGGAAATGCGCATTTCTGCCCACATCTACATTGGACAATTGAAATCGGCCTATTTGTTGGCAAACAAATACGAACGAATTGGAGATATACGCAAAATCCTAAGACAGGCAGAAGCCACCAATCAAGTGCATATTAAGAAGTTGTGTGAGAAGAAACTGCAAATGACTTTGTCCAGAACAAGTCAAACGAAATAATAATAGTTGTGTTCCAGAACCTTCAAATTAGTACTAATTAGCACTAATTCTGCTACAACGCGTTCCCGTACTCCAAAAACTAGCAAAACTTGCAGCTCTCTCGAGAAAAAAATGGCGCTGAGTGGTGCACATTTCTGCTTGTTTTAGCTACATGAATTTGGCCGAGCAGAAATGTGCATATTGTAAATTTGACATTTACTTGGCAGGGCTAACAAGGTTGAAAAATGTGTTGATACATTTCAATAAAGAAAATGATCAACTTGAAAACTAAAGGAAAAACTAATATTTGTCGTGCAAAAAACAAAAAGAGAAAATATGGAGCAACTGATGTATTCACTTTTGGATGATTCCAGCAGTGAAGAGGACTGGCTGAATGAGGAATCAGATTATTAATTATTATTATAAATTATTAATTTTAACTTATCGTCTACAATACTCATTTTTTAAATGTTGGCGCTCTTTTCAGTAAGGTTTCACCAGTCCGATTTAGGCTGTTTACTTTTGGAATTTTGAATTTTGACATTTTATCGCATTTCTGCTAATTTTCCGTTCCCTTATTTTTTGAGCAAACCTAAATGAGAATGAAATTTCGAACTGTTCTCTCTTCTGCTAGTTTTACTACTAAAAAAGTACTGGAACACAACTAATATGTGATATATACTTTTTCTTTTTTTTTGTTTCTTTGTTTTCTATATGTACACCTATACCAATATTCTTATCGTTTTACGATTATGTTATTTTGTATGTAATTTAAAATATATTATATAATAATAAATAAATAAATAAATATACATATTTTTATTATGCAATTTTGTATTTGAGTTTTTCGTTTTCTTAAGCACCCCATAACAGTATACTATAAGACGAAGGAGCATAGAATTGTAAAGAATATTGGAAAACAGAAAAAAATCTCTCATAATTTTAACATCTCATTTTTTTATTGAATTAATTTAAATCGTTTATGACTAATTTATTTATGTACATTTTTTCTTAATATCATTTCAAATCTATTTACAAATCGCTAAAACAATTCAACTCAAATAATCAACTTCACTCGCTGAACATCTCTCTTACGTTTCTTCTTCATCATCTAGGATACTTTCGGCATCCATGGAATCATTACAAACCGACAACTCGGATTCGGTATCTTGTCTACTATCTTCTCTGAGATCTCTAAGCTCTTCACGTTTTATATTATCACAATCTTCGTCGTCGTCGTCGGTACCATCTACTTTAACTGTAGTTTGATCTGTACTATTGCCTGGCACAATCTGAGTTTGTCGCAAAAGAGCCAATCGCTGTTGTGTTATTTCCAAATGATGTTTACGCCATTTGATGCGTCTGTTTTGAAACCAAACTTTGACTTGAGCTTCGGTTAATTGCAGTGTATGTGCCAAATATAAACGTTCTGGACCCACCATATATTGTTGTCTTTCAAATTCCGCCTCTAAACGTTCCAGCTGCTCAGGGGTAAATATGGTGCGCACTCTTTTATTTTTCAGTGAGGATTTTTTCGAACTGTTGTCTGGAAGAATAAAGAAGGATATTTTTGATAAAGTCTGTTAGAATTGTTAATTGCGTATTTATAGTCATTGTATATACTGAATTATAGAAAATCCTATATTAGGTCAATGGGTAGGTCGAACGGTGCTACAAAATCCATTTTTTTTATTACGGGGAAAACCCAGTAGTGTATGAACTAAAAAAGAAACATGTGTCCCGGCGTTTTGAAAAATAGCGGTAGTAGTAGTAGCAAAGTAGACAAAATAAAGGAGGCATTTTCCACCCTCTTCCTCACTTTTTGAAATTCTTGGATTAAGATTCCTCGGAATCCATGCATATCAGGTATACATTGTGTTCGACAACATTCCAGACAAAAATACAAGGAGTGTATTGATTAAATATTTTAACCCTCATGCGTGTCAACAAAGGTGTCTTTTTGGCCCTTTTTCTAAAAGAGGTCAATAAATTCTAAAAAAATTGCCATAAAATTCTGCTATACAGGATGAGATAAAAAAATGCAACCAACTGGTGCAAAATGGTTTGAAAAGTAAAGAAGCGACTTAATCGAAACCCGCGTCGCAGTGGCCGAAAAATGGCTCGTGAGCTGAACACATCGCAATATTTCATTCGGCAAGTATTGAAAAACGAGCTCGGGCCATTGAATTTCCAAAAAGTGCAAGAACTTACACCACAACAGAAAGAAAATAGACTCAAAAGAGCTAAAGATAGCTTCGCTTGGTCGAAAGTTATGAACTGCCGAAATTGGTTGTCTTCGCTCCGATGAGAAAACATTCGTTGTCCAGCAGTTTGTAAACAAACAAAATTATCGTGTTTACTTGCCAAAGTGGTCAGCTGACAATGTGCACCTTTGGTTGGCCACCAGAACTCAAGCGCTGGCCATGGTGATGGTGTGGGCTGCCATAACAGCCGATGGTTGCTCTCCGCTCGTATTAATGGACCGTGGCATCGTAATAAATGCCAAATATTATCGCGAAAATATTATGGAAGGTGTATTAAAGCCTTGGGCAGGCAAACATTTGGCCACAGACCTTGGACATTCGAACAGGACTCAGTACCATCGCACTCAGCACGCGCCACTCAAGAATGGTTACAAAATGAGGTTTCTCGCTTCATTTCCAGCGCACAATGGCTACCAAAATCTCCGGATTCAAATCCGTTGGACTATTGTGTCTGGAGTATTTTGGAAAGCAAGGCTGGCACGTGTGACGGTTTCATTGGCCATAATTCGTGCCAAAGATGATCAATTCGAACGAATCTAAATTTATTCTAAAATTTTATGCTATTTCCGACATTTTTTTTTTCATTTTATGCATTATTGTTTTTTACAAGGGTACCTCGACAAAAATCGTGATTTTTTTGAAGAACATTTATACAAGGGGTTTCTGTAGATTTTTTAAGAGTATTTTTTACAAGGTCTTTTCAGGGATTACAAGGAGCTCCACATCAAAAGTTTTGAAAGGTTTTTTATTTTTTATTGGATCTAAGAAAATCTATGAAAAATTTGTAAAGGTTCTTTAGATCAAAAACCGTAGTACCTACTGCAGAAAAATTTCAAGGACCTGTAGACCAAAAGCCATGGATGTTTAGATTTTTTATAAGGACCTTTAGACCAAAAACTGTAAATTTGTCAACACTTGTTCGAGCATCTTCAGAAAAAGTCTTGGATTTTAAAGTTCATTTTCACAGGTCTTCAGAACAAAAATTGTGAGTTTTTCAAAGATTGTAAGCCTATACTTTTATAAAAAGATTTTCTTCAAGGGTCTCTCTATCAAAATTCTTGGATTTGTAGGAATATATTTTTTACAAATTCTTTTTTACCGCAACTGTGGACTTCATACTATGGATTCTCGTACCTACCTGCTTTCAGTTTTTCACGTTGAAAACTCAGATTGGACTGATGTGCGGCCGCGTGTTGTTGGTGCAATTGTTGTAGACTCTGCAATGCGGATGGTGCACCCGGTACATTGGCTGCTGCGGCTGCAGCGGCTGCTGCTGCCGCCACAAAACTATTCGCCCGAGAATGTTGCTGATGGGACATTGCAGGTGTTGTCGTGGCAAATGCACTACCTGTCACATTAACCATGGCCGAGGGCAAGTAACGATTCATTAGCACATTGACATTGGCCGCGGCAGATGTTGCAACTGGAACACTATCACAGTTATTATTTACAGTATTGGCCGCCGCTGCCACAGAGGTCATGATATTGTGGCAAATATTAGACGACAATGAGGTGGTGGATGATGATGCTGATGGAATTACGGATTTATTTACATTTAAGTTTGTGACATCTCTGTGGTTGTTGTTGCTGTTAAGATTGGCATGGGTCAAATGATGGGGATGATGGAGTTGTTGTTGTTGCAAATGGGTTTGTAGTTCATCTGTATGCCTGTGTTCGGGGGTGGCTAGATTCTGTTGATGCTTTTGTCCATTCATGTCGTCATGGCCATTGACTGTTTCTTCGTTGTTGCTGTTGTTGTTGTTTTTGGTACAATTCGAGCTACCACCATTTAATGAAAGGTTAATCACATTGTTGGTGTATTCTTTGCACGAGCTCTCCATGGCACTCTTTTGTAAACCCAAAATGGCGGCTATTGTAAAGGATTTGCCAGCATCAAGGGTTGTGCTCACCGTTGCCGCTGCCTCCTCGATTAGCTGCTGTGTGTGTCTGTGTGTGGGTGGGGTGTTGGGCTGGCGCAGGTTGGGGTTTGTAGTTTGGCAGTCTAGTGGCGAATGAAGAATGGGTGAATGTAGTTGTTGTTGTTGCTGATGCTGCTGCTGCTGTTGGCTTGGCGAATTATGAGAGATCAAATGTTGGGCTGCTGCTGCCGCCGCCAGTTGTAGATGATGATGATGGTGGTGGTGGGTGTTGTGATGTTGATTCGCTAATAAGGCCGAGGCAGTTTGTTGTGGCTGATTATGGTGGTGCAGTTGTTGTTGTTGTTGCTGATGATGGTGGTGTTGTTGGTGGTGATGGAGGGAATGTTGCTGTTGTTGAAATTGACTGTGACTATTCGCAAGGGTTGTCGCCAAGGTGTGGGCATCCACCACATGATTGTGCGTTGCCTGTGAATTGTGCAGAGCCAAAAAATGGGACAAAGGATTCGGATGATATTTCTGTAGCATTCTTGTTTATGGAAATCCTGTTGCTCCTAGCCTTGTGGGTGTCTGCATGTGGTCGTACCGCTTTGCTCCCGTTGCAGCAGTGAGCTGATGAAGTTGTCCGTAGAAAATATTCTGTTGGTATTTTGTTTGCTGTGTCCGTTGTTGGCACTTTGGTGTCAGTTTTACATTTGAGCCCAGCAGCAAAATAGCTCCATTAGTTGAGTGACAATCTTTGGCTAATAGTTTTGGGGCCAGCCTGGCACTTTTGCAGCTATTGTTGCGTAGACTTGTCGGTCAATGGTCTCTGCTATTGTTCCAAGCACACGGATGGTCGGCTATGGTGGCTGCAATCTCTCTCTGTATTATGTGGGAATGCAAAAGAAGAGAAAAGGAAAGAAAAAAAAAAATAGTACGACATTAGTTGGATGGCGTTAAACTCGGTTGTGTAGGCCCTCGGTGGCCAGTGTCATCCGATATGTAATTGTTTTGTGTGAGACAATTAACCTAAACCAGGCGGAAAAAGAAGTTGCATTTAACTATGAAGGAGTTAGTTAACTAAAGGTTTTTGGCCATAAAGAAAGTTCAGGGTAAAAATGGGAGGTAGAAGAGATGCGGTCTCCAAATATGATGTGTATAATTAGTTTAGAGCCACATATTATTGGGAATCGGGGTTTGAAGGTCCTAGCTACATTTGTCAACTAAATGGGCTACATTTTAGTATTTTTAACTCCAAACTTGTTTTCTTGTGGTGACGGTTGTCCGTCTGTTGAAATCCAAATGGATGTTGTAGAATTTTAGATAAACAAATTATATTTGGCATATACATTTTTGGTACTTCTTAGATGTTTCGTTTTGAAAATAGGCTATATTGGTCTAAATGTACAAATAAATCTCCCATATAATGGTAATTGATGTTTATGTTCCTCAAATTCTTAATATGGACTCCACCAGAATGATGTTTGGTATCATATTCAGCCCAGAAGTTCCTCTGCCAAATTTTATAGAGATCGATTCAGATTTGGGAGATAAAAAAAACTGCAACAAAGTCAAACGCCATAATTTTTGCGTTTTTTTATAAATTTTATTGAATGAAAGAAAAAAATTTCGGAAAGAGCATCAAATTTTAGAATTAGTTTAGACTTGTTCGAATTGGTCACCTTTGGCACGAATTATGGTCATCAAACGGCCAATGAAACCGTCACATGCTGCCCTAATGTTGCTCTGCGGTATTTTGGCCCATTCCCGACGAAGCGCTTGCTTGAGGTGATCGACACTTTGATATTTTTTAGTGTCAACCTTGCTTTCCAAAATACCTCAGACACAATAGTCCAACGGATTGGTATCCGGAGATTTTGGTGGCCATTGTGCGCTCGAGCGAGGAACCTCATTTTGTAACTATTCTTGGGTGGCGCGTGCTGAGTGCGGTGGTGCTGAGTCCTGTTGGAATGTCTAAGTTCTGTGGCCAAAATGTTTGCGTGCGGCTTTAATACACCCTCCAGAATATTTTCGCGATAATATTCGGCATTTATTTTGATGCCATAGTCGCTTAGTACGAGCGGAGAGCGTTCACCAGCTGTTATGGCGGCCCACACCTTCACCATGGCCGGCGCTTGGGTTCTGGTGTACATTTTCAGCTGACCTCTTTGACAAGTAAACAGGATCATTTTGTTTGTTTACAAACTGATGGACAACGAATGTTTTCTCATCGGAGAAAACTTAATTCGGCAGTTCACCACTTTCGGCCAAGCGAAGCCACTCTTTAGCTCTTTTAAGTCTTTTTTCTTTCTGTTGTGGTGTAAGTTCTTGCACTTTTTGGAATTTCAAAGGCTTTACCGCAAGCTAATATTCTAATATTTGCCGAATGGAACATTGCGATATGTTCAGCTTACGAGACATTTTTCCACGCGGGTTTCGATCAAGTCGCTTCTTTACTTTTCAAACAATTTCTACTGATGTTGCTGTTTTCTTCCTTCCACTTCCTTGACGTCGGGCTACGCTACCAGTATCACGTTACCGAGCGGTGGTACGAGACACAAAATATTTATTCACATTTAAATGCTGAAGTGCTCTAACGATAGCCACTTGTGGTTTTCCAGCCAAATATAAAGACATCACACTATCACGCTTGAATTCCATCACGAATAACTTATTTCTGGAAAATTCTAACCAAAATGCTTTTGTACGCTTGTAAACAGCTGTCGGACGAGTGGCTTAGAAATGACAGCAGTCTGAAGTTGGTTGCAGTTTTTTCATCTCACCTTGTATATCTTTATCCGATTCCAGGTAAATTGTGCACCAAATGGCTAATATCAGCCCAAATGGACTGCTCGAAAATACCTCTGCCAAATTTTATCGAGGTCCGTTCAGATTTTTGTATAGCTTCGATATACATCTTCATCCGATTTTACGGCTATTGCTTGTCATATATGTGATATCAGTCCAAATTGAATAGATTTTTCATATTCGACCGAATTTTACCATATGGTGGTACTCGGTCGGGTATATCTATTGCTCCAATGAATATTTTTCCCAACAATGTTCCCAATGGTTCATAGTTGGTATGATCTACTTCATATAAATTCCCAATATAAACTTTTTGTTACATGAGCTCTACTAAATACGCATAGTGGTGTAGGGTATCATATAGTCGGCCCTCCCCGACTTTTGACTTTTTCTTACTGGTTTTCTCTTCAATTTGCCTAAAATGTTTTTTTTTAAATTTTCGAATACAGGAACGGTTTTATAATAAAAAGTTGAAACTTACACTTTTTCCGATATAGTTCGGAACATATTAATTGTAATTGAAGACTTCCATTTGATTTAATTGGAGCATTTAATGTTATTTATTAAATTTCATTTCCAATTTGGATAATTTCATTTGTAGTACGAATAGCTTCATTTTTCGAATTATTCTATTTCCAATTTAAATGATTTCATTTGAAATTCCAAACAATATAATAAAAAATCGTGTATTTTTCGACCACCCTGCATTTCTATTAACTTCCATACCCTAATAGACCATAAATAGCTTTTTTCGTTGCTCAAACCCCACATTCACCTTATTACCTAAACTAAGTGAATTGTAGCATTAGACGACGAATCATTCAACTGTCCTCTAGTTGCTATTGTCTCTGGCTCCATATGTGTGTGCGTACTGGCTAAATTACACTTCACATTTCTTCTTCTTCTTGTGCACACTTTTCGCATTTCCTTTGGCCCTAGAGTGCAAATACCTGACTCTACCTCAAAGTGCGTGAAGATCGTTGCATGGTTAGTTTATAGAAATGAGTAGTGTTGTTTGTTTGTCTGAATGTAGTAGCAAGACACGTAACCACTCCTCATCATCGTCCTCCACTTAGACGACATCAAGGTGTTGCAATTGAATCCCATTGTCCTCATCATCGTCGTCATCATCATCTGGTAAAGTGTGTCTTTAGAAAATATATATTGAATTAACTAAATGAAGATGTGAATGTGACACCGGCTATGATAACGATGTGATAACATATTTAGTTCATATATGTACATAAGGGTGGACCGTTAGATATATGGTTATTGTCAACTGCTCAACGTTAAGTTATCATATAAATCGTTAGAATCTAATGTGGCCATATCAGGTATTAACATGACTAAAATGAAGAAGCGCTGTGCTGATTATGTTGCTTGCTAAACATTTAGTGAACTCCAACAACAATGACAACAAAGTGCAACTATCACATGACATGTGTGTTGTTGGCTTTTCTCTCTATGAAGTGTTAATATGCTGAGGATGTTGCCGGCAGTTGCAATAACAACAACAATAATAATACAAAAGCAGTGGACCCAAAAGTGCATAATGAGCGAAACATAATTACGGAAGTTGAAAGGCATCACTTCATACTAAGCCTTTCTAGCAACTCATTTTAAGTCCAGTCGTATTTAAATAATTTCCGCTTTAAATGTCTATCTGTGGTTAGATCTAGATATGTATGTGTAATAGGCATAAGGAAATCTCTAATGCAGTAAATAAAATAAACACATTTCCGGTATTTATGTTGCAAAAAACAAAAAAATTAATTCGGATGTAATTCGAAATTTTAAATCTAACTTTACAAAGGAATAATCAAAATTAAAATGAAAATAATTCGAAATACAAGAGAAATAACTCAAATTTTAAATTGAATTCTCGAATTGTAAATATAATGTTATATTACATCGCTTTTATTAAAATGAATAACACTTCCAATACTGTACCAATTAAAAGTAAGGATTAAGAATGTCTACTTCTCTTGTAACCGAATGGTTATTTGTATTTGTCCGATGTGTATCCTTAGCCTCTGACCATTTTCATATGTTTATTAAAAAAATCCCAGATTTTTGAGGAGAAAATATTAAAAAGTTTTTCTTTAATAATCCATGATTTTTATCCAGACAGACAAGTAAAAAAAGCAGCCAGGCCAAACTTTCAACAACCTTCACCATTTAGAAGGAACTTAAATTTTTTTAGAAAATTCCGAAAAAAAACCGCTTAAATGAAAACCGTTATATTGGGGCTATTATGAGTACGTGGACCTGCATAAATAATTCATTGTCATAGAATGTAGTGCCGAACCGAATATTAAATGCGAAATTTGAAACAGTTCCGTTAAATAATGTCGCTAATATCATAAAATACCGAATTTTGGGTGGCACCGTTATATGGCGGCTATAAGAAAACGTAGACCTGCATAGACAATTTTCTTTCATAGGTTGTAGTACCGATTCCCAACTTTAAATACGAAATTTAATATCGGAAAGTACCGTTATATGAGGGCTATATTTTCTGTCATTGGCTGTAATTTCCATTATGAACTTCAAATACAAAATTTGAAACGATTCCGGTGAACAATGTCGCTTAAATAACCAAAATACAAAAAATACGGAAGGTACCATTATATGGGGGCTATACCCATGGCCCATTTTTAATACCAAAAGCTCTGCAGACGTAATATATATTTGACTAAGATTTTATCACCATGCTTAATTTCGTTCGGAAGCTAGAGCGACAGGCGGACGGACATCGTTAAATCGACATTGAATTTTATTTCGAGGTGTTACAAACGGAATGACAAACTTACTATACCCTCTACACTATGGTAAAGGATATAAAATGTAAACTTTTGTGGGGCACGAGTAGGCCGATAAATTCCAAATTCACATCAAATTACTGACTGGGAGAAATATTTAGATATATCAAGTATCGCTAACTGGTTTTACAAGCTATGAGAGGTATAAGTATTAAAAATTGTGAATCTTTGTGTGGGCGTTGCCAGGAGGGGTGGATTGATATCTATCATCTTTATACCAGATTTTGTTTTAGAAGTAGTATTGGGATGTGTGAAAATTTACAGAGAATTCAATGCCCATTTCGCATTTTTTTAAAACTTTTGGGTATTGAAAATTTAGACCCCTGGTGGGGGAGATATCTGAAGAAATGGACCGATATCTACCTTCTTTACAACAGATCTTGTGTTAGTAGAAATATTGGAATGTTTGAAGTTTAACAACTAAAAAGGCATCTAAGTTTGCCCGGGTCGAGTTTTTAATACCCTTCACCATTTGGAAGGAACTTCAAAATGTTCAAAAATACCGTTTAAATGATGTTCTTTATACGGGGGGACATGGTGCATTTACAAACTAAAATCATTTTAGAATTTTAAGCTGATACAGAATATATACTATATACTTTGTAGGTTCTATCATGAATATTTCGAGGAGTTACAAAAGGAATGACAATGCTAATATACCCTCCATAGAATGGTGGGGGTATAAGAAGGATCTTATGCTTATTTTGCAAGTTTTAACAGTTTTTGTTTTTTTTTTTTAATGTTAACCCTTTGTGTGGAGGTACCAGAAGGAGTGGTCCGTTTTATCCGCTGTTCTTCCATCTTCTGTTGTTAAAAATAATGGGATGTACGACAATTTGAAGACAATCTGACTCTTATTTTACATTTTGTTAAAGTTATGATTATTCAAATTTTTTACCCTATTAAGAGGAGGTACTCGATGGAGGGCGCACGATATAAATATGTGAATTTGTAAAGTACTTATTTTATGAGGTAAATTATTTTATATGAAAATGTAGACCTTTTGTCATGAGGTACAAGAAGAGTGGGCTGATGTTTTCCATCACCGAACTCGGCATAAGTTTGAAAATAATATTACGATGTACCAAGTTCAGACCAAGTCGGATACTCCCTTTAAGAGTTCTTCTGCGCATCAGCCAGACATACGAACGAGCGTCCCTAGATCGACTAAAAATTTCCTGAAACGGATTTCGAAAATTCCATCAAATTTTTCGTTTAAAAAAAGGAAATGTTACCCTGTTTTTAAGCATCAATCAGGTTAATTTCAGAAGGAAAAAATGTATGTATATAACATTTTTTAATTGTTTTAAGCTGTGGAAGACCTCATATAAGACGTCTTTCACTTGAATGTCTTCAATAGAAGACATCCAATAAGGGTCGTCTTTTCTAAAAAAGCTTCTGTACGATTTAGGGAAACTTAACTCACTTGGGTTATTGGTTGTCAAATTTTAAATATATATTGAAGACAATTAAAGAAGGATTATGAAAGTACATATTATTACACCCGCAATTTGGAGGGGATATGTTATGGTTTCATACAAATCCAAAGATTTTGTAAACCCTTGCACAAGAAATGTCTAGAATCCAAGATATATATTTATGAGTTATTTCTGATCGTGATTAGAGATAGATATTCCATTTTATGTGCGGGAATAACTCCAAACCCTAGGCATTTGATTAAATATAACGAAGATAAAATTGGTACATGCGAAAAACATTACTTTCCAAACTGAATATTTTTTGGGATAAATTTGTACAATTTTTCATTTTTAATCATATTCAATAAAAATACAAACCTTTTCAACAATTTTCCATTTATAATCCATACATTGGCTATGTGTAATCCAATATTACATTTAATAATTTATTTATTTATGTAGTATACATCCAATTAATTTCACACAAGTTCGATTTATTTTTATTATTTTCACTTCACTTTTTTAGTTTTCTTCAACAACACCCTCACTTCTGAAAAATCAAAAATCCGTCGGCAAATACAAGAATCTATTAATTCTTCACTTCCGTTTTACAACATTTACAAACGTTGGCGTGTGCGAACAGAGAGAGCAAATATTTATTTCTTTATTTCTATTTGCTCTGTAGCGTTGAGGTCCTTTAACGTTTGAAGTCTGTCGTTTTTGCGGCACATAAAACGTGTTATCACGAGCTTTTCACATTTGAAACTGAACGATTAAAATATTTGCTCAGCATTAAAAAGGCATCATCATCCTCGTCCTCATCACAATTTGATGTAGCAGCAGCGGCAACAGTAGCGTCGACAAAGGTTTCGAAGGAATGAAAAAACAAGTGTAGTTTGTTGGGTGGTAATAGGGCTCGACATCCTTTCCTTTGGGGGTGGTTATTGAAAAAAAAAAAACACTAACTTTTGCCCTCGTCCGTCGTGTAGCAAAAATTGTTGCTCTCCAATGTTGGTCGGCTATGTCGGCGGTTGTTTTACTATATTGGGTTGGCATGGCGGGGATGGTTGTCTGTCTGTCTGATGCCTGGTTTCTATATTGGTGTAATTTTAAGGATAACATCATTATTAGCCAACAATGATTAGCATTTTTTGCCCTGTGCGTAACCCCTTTCCATGTCACCGCTGCTCATCCCGTTTTTATTTGAACAATTGTAACATTATTTAAGAGTCATTTAGTTGATTTTTATGATGTTGAAACTAGCATATTATCCCTTTGGATAGGCTGAATCTTCTAATGGCAGATATTTGTGTACGGAACTAAATTATTGTATTTTACAAGTTTGTAATTTGTTTTATATAAATTTAATGCATGAGAAAGAGAAACGTCTTGGCCAAGCCAGAATTTGGCCAGCATAAAATAGTTAAAGTTTCGGCGTCTGAAACTGTGTGAATACTATTCATTCTGCCTAATAGGCTTCTTGATCTTGGGGATTTCTCCTGTAACGTGAACAGGAGAACATGAAGTTCCGTAATCTCAGTAATGTTACTTGGACCTGCTAACTAAAAAGTTGACTCCAGATTTTTTGTATCCGAGGAATAAGTTCTAATTTGAAGTGACATGACCTTGTTAAAAAATGGGTTAGACATTAGTTTTTTTTTTTACTGGAAACTTGTTTGATGGGTCTCAATATGCCTCATCGAAGTTGAGGGCATTTGGTGTCGATCCTCCACAGAACCCCTGCTTTTGACTTATACCAATTTTTGGTAATAGCAGTTTTTGGGCCCAATCCTTCTAATACACTGTCAATGCAGGTTATAGTGCGAAAATATATTTTTCGTTACCACGCGGAACTTGGTATATATTTTCACCTTTTGATATAGTCCCCATATAACGGTACCTACCGAAATTCGGCGTTTTGATGATTTTTGCCACATTTTTTCTTTTTGACGAATTTGTCTAAAAATTGGTATTTGTAGGTTATAATGTGTTCTAGCTCCGGTGGCGAAACATTGTAGGTATAGGTCCACGTTTTCGTAAAGGACTATATAAAGGTACTTCCCGATATTCGGCATTTTGATGGTTTTACCCACATTTTTCAACGGATTTGTTTAAAAATTGGCATTTGTAGGTCAAAATGGGTTCGAGCTCCGGTGGCGAAACATTGTGTGTATAGGTCCACGTTTTCGGAAAGCACTGAAATAAGGGTAGCTCCCAATGGCATGAAAAATTGGAACTTTATGTTTTTTTACTTGTTAATTGCGAACATTTTTATATTTTTTAATAAACATTCAACTTTACCCTATTAACCGTTTTGGCGCCCAATTGTCTAAATGGTAAGTGGTTCAAAGCATGGTACAAATATTGTCATTTATGAGCATGAATATATGAATTCCAACAGCTCTTATAGCTAAACAAAAATTGTTATCCTAAGGCCAAACAATTTAAGGTTTTAACTTATAGCCCTTGCATCATCATTTAGGCTACACAATTTTCCATTTTAAATCACAATTTCGTATTTTTCCACTTCAATCCATTTGTAATCGTCCTCTCGTTTCGAACACAGTCATTATCCACACGCTTATTAACTTGTCAAATGAAACAACAACTCCATTACGAAATACCAACAAAAAAAGTCATTTGTAAAAATTGAACCAATAATAACCCTTTACTAACACCCACCGTTACAAAAACACACCCACACACAAACACAATGATATTTGACACAAAGGAACAAAAACAAAACAACAAAAAAGAAAAAAAACAACGTTCAACACATTTCAATCATCATTAGAGCTAATGTACCCACAAATATTACAGGGATGTCTCCGCCAATGTTGCCAGATGTCCAATGTGATTTTACTACCAAAATCTTTTTTGTAAAGTACAATCAGTAAGGACAGGTCAAAAGTCCATTTGGTGCACAATAAATCTGAATCGGATAATATATATAGGAGCTATATCCAAATCTGAACCGATCTTGATAAAATTTGGTAGAGGTATTTCCGGGCTGTATCTGACATTTGGTACCGAATGTCATTGTTGTAGAGTGCGTATTACAAATGTAAGGGACTTAAACACCAAATCGGATAAAACATATATATGAGAGCTATAGCTATATCTGAACCGATTTTAACCAAATTTCATGTACTTGCTCCTAGATTTAATACGGTCGGAGTTACCAGGTCATTTGGACTGATATTGGCTATTTGGTGCACAATTAACCCGAAATTTAAACCGATTCTCCATATAAAATCCATGTCAAAACGTCGACGTTGTTTGAATTTGTATATCGTAAGTCTTCAAAGGTTAGCAAATTCTGATTTAAACATTCGAAATACCGAATATCATTAGGTATTAGGTACATGGGGGCTATACCAAATACTGGATTTATAGTAAATATGATCGCAAGGAGGGGTTGGGTTATCTCATAAAATTTTTGAAATTGCATGTAAATACTGAATCTATAATTGTTTCTTCGATAAGGGAGAACTTACTTACCAATAACCACATTAACCTGTCCTGCCATTGTGCTATATAATATTCTAATATATTTGTCACTTCTTACAGCATTGGGAAATTATTATTATTCGCTCTACATTGGCAGATATTTAAAAAAAGTTAGAGCGTAGTTGCCTTTTTGGCAGCTACTACAAATGTGCTATCCCATTCTTTTCTAAAATCAGGTCTAGGGACTCCCAAATATCCATAAGCAGTCTATTATCGATCCATTCCATTAAAACTTCCATTAGCAAATAATGATTTTAATATAGATTTTAATGGTTTATTAGCCTCATACAAATTTCCCACTTTGATGTGATTCGCGGAGTGCAACTCCGACAATATCAGCGGGCTAGTCCCAAAATGGCAACTCCTTTGATAGCTTTCAAGACCTTCAAATCTCATCAACATCAAGCAGAATATTCTCTTGCCTCCATACCAGCTAATTTGTTTTTGTCCTTATGAAAAAACAACAAAAACAAAATCCTGAGAGACAGGGAGAGCAATACCAATCTGCGCAAAATCACGGCAACGCTCTCATAAGCAAAGTAAATTAAGCATTTTTACGCAAATATTCAGATTTACAACAAATTACAAGTGGGGGTTTTTTCTCGGAAAAGAATGTGATTTAAAATATAAAAAAAAAACAAACAAATGAGTACCAATATAATGAGAATCCCCAGAGATTGGGTGGAGAAGTGGGTGGGAGTTTATGGGGCTAAGGTGTTATGTTTGTTTTAGAAATTGTGGTGAATTATGATTTGTTTTTTTTATCATAATGCTCTTCCTTTCTCTTTCTCTCACTTGTAATAAATTGTTACTACTCTTTTATTGTGGAATCACACATACACGAGCAGGACTCCAAACCCATCAAAATCATGTGGTGGCAAGAGAGATTGGGTGGATAGATGATGGTGGTCGAATTATTATGAATTCATGTAAATGTGAATGGGGAGAGTGGAGTCACATTATACAAAGGCTGTTGTGTGAGGGAGTGTGTGTGTCTGTTTGCTTTTTTTTGTCTTTACGTTATGCCATTTTTATGGTTTTTTAGGGGGCGGGTGGTTTGTGTCTGCTTATTATTATGCATACATGTTCGTAAGTGTGTGTCGTAGCCGCCATTGTTATTTTCCATCTTTTTTAACATTTTAGAAACTTCGTGAGTTTTTATCGTTCGCCTCCCACATACACACACATACGGGCATACTCTCACACAATGTTCGTCGAATGAAGTACTGTTGCTCTTGGCCACATTATTTTAAAGCCATAAAATATTATTATAAAAATTCTCCACCATATAATTTGTTATTGGGTTTGTGTTTACATCATTATCCTTAATAAGGCGCTTTTGTGGGGATATCATTAATTTATCCTTGTGGATATATGGATTACACATAAGCCATTTGAGAAGGAACGAATACATGGTTTCAGATGTGTGAGATGCATTACATTATTCAGGGGATAAGTGTTTTAAAGAAAAGTTTAAAAAAAATAGTTATGAATATCAAAAAGTGAGGTTAAGTTTCCATGATTTTTTTCCCTTTGAAAATCTACTTTTGAGTTCTAATGCTGAGTTCATTACAACAAAATTTAAATCTAGTAAATGATTTTCTTTCAACATTCTCAAGTAATTTTGTTGTTTTGACAGCCTTAGCCATATATTAATGGTAGATAAAGGGTATTATATCCCTGTCACAATCCAAATTTTACATCGGAAACCCTTCGAAGAAGATATGGTACTTTTTATCCAATAAAATAAAGAGTTCGTAATTTTTAAAATATGTACAGACATTACCAGGAAAAAATTAGAAGTAGTCTAATTTGGAGTAGTGACTTTATTGCACATTTTAAACTATTTTGGATTGAGTTGTTAAAAGTTTAGTTCTAATTATCACATTTTAATGATGTGACATTTTCACAAAGTATAAGATTTTGAAAATATATTATTGCCTGACTCTGTATAAGTTGTTTTTCTC